TTTGGAGGTCGGCGGGCTACACATCCGGCAGTGGGCATCTAACGATGAATCCATACTACGGGGACTGCCCGAGGGGACCATCAAAGTCAATCTGTCCGAGCAAGATTCGACATTCAAAACGCTGGGCCTGTTTTGGACTTCGACCACCGACACCATTAATTACTCGGTCAACCCGATCGACGTGGACCATAAGATCAGCAAACGGACCATGCTCGCCCAGATTGCACGAATATACGACCCATTGGGACTACTCGGACCCGTGATAGTCGTAGCCAAACTCCTAATGCAATCTCTTTGGCAATTGAACCTGGACTGGGACGAATCCGTCCCAGCACACATCCACACCACCTGGCGAGAGTACTGCACGCAACTTCAGCTGCTAAACGAACTCACCTATCCTCGGCATTTTACACTAAGGGAAGCAGGCGACATACAGATACACGGGTTCTGCGACGCAAGCGAGAAGGTGCTTGTCTATATTTGAGGTCAACGCATAAAAATCGAGTCCAATGCCATCTCCTCTGCGCGAAATCTCGAGTCGCCCCCCTCAAGACCCCTATGCGGGGCAGGACTGTTAGCGAATCTATACCACAGCGTAATGCAAAGCACGAAGATCAACGTAAGCCAAACAATATTCTGGACAGATTCAACAATCACACTACACTGGATCAACACGAAACTATTGAAGACATTCGTCGCAAACCGCGTATCAAACATACAACAAAGAACTGCAAGTAACTCTGGAGACACGTGCCCACCGATCATAATCCTGCCGACATCTTATCTAGAGGCTTGCTCCCTCAAAGGTTTCTACGAACCAACATCTGGAACCTCGGACCCGACTGGCTAGTACGGCGAGATTCACAATGGCCAGTACAACCATTAAGCATACCGTCACAACTGCCAGAAGTAGAAAAACAGCTCTGCCTGATGATCGACACGCAACCGGAACTAATCTGGAACTAATCTTCTTATGCTTCAACAAACTTGTCAGAACCATCGCCTACCGCCTGCGATTGAAAAACCCTAAGCAACATCGCGGACCTCTCAGCACAGAAGAATTGGAAGGGGCACACGATCGGATAATAAGATCGGTGCAACACAGCCACTTTCCAACGGAACTTCACGACCTTAGAAAGTTCAACAAGGTAAACTCCAAAAGCAGACTACTGCCTCTAAACCCCTTCCTGGACGAACAGGGAATCATGCGAGTCGGAGGTCGTCTACATCGATCCAACTTGCCATACAACAGAAGACATCAAATCATCATTCCGAAGACACATCATGTTACATCGCTAATAATCAGTCAATACCATAGAAGAAACTTCCATGCAGGAACATTGGCCACGCTTCATTGCATCAGGCAGAAATATTGGCCCCTGGACGGCAGGAATCAAATACGTTTCGTCCTGCGGAAGTGCATCCAGTGTTTTCGCGCCAATCCACCGGTGAGCGAGTGCATCATGGGGCAGCTGCCAGCGGCACGAGTGACGCAATCGCGCCCCTTTGAGACCGTCGGGGTCGACTACTGCGGCCCCTTCATGACCAAGGAGAAAAAGTTTCGGAACCGCAAATCAGTCAAGACGTACGTGGCAGTCTTCGTCTCCCTAGCTGTGAAGGCAGTGCATCTAGAGGTGGTCAGCGATCTGATCACCGATGGATTCATCGCCGCCTTCAGACGATTCATCGCCCGAAGGGGGAAGTGCAGAGAAATAACATCGGACAGTGCATCTAGCTTCGTCGGGGCAAAAAATCAACTGGCAGAACTATACGCCGACCCACAACACACGAACATCCGAATTCGCAGCCTCCGAAGGCATCACATGGAAAATAATCCCCCCGATCACCGAATTTCGGAGGACTCTGAG